CCCCGAGCACGACGGAAATTTAGGCAAATCGTCATGTTTAGATATAAGTATTTCCGAAACTATTTAACTATAACAAAAAGAGTTGTAGAACCTATAAACTAATTTTTCAAGCTCTATTCAAATCCGTAAAGACCCCACAAGTGATATAGGTAGTTTAGATGAAACTGGTTAAAAACCGATCTTTTATCCGTAGAGAGCTGAAAATTTGCTGGACCTAAAGATCTAAGTAACGTTAAAGTATTTTGGTTGAAAAAACATTTGCCTCATCTTGTTAGAGCGAAAAATGTGGCAACAAAAATACATGAGATCAATAGCAATATCCGCCTTGGTTTGCCTTCTTCGAACAACAATCATAAATGCTGGTAAGTTTCATGCGCCATTAGCTGCAATTTCTCTTTCTCACGAATCATGCCTCCATTTCTTGCGTGCAGTAAATTAACGTTTCAAACAGCCAAGACCATGGTGATAATTTGATTGCATGGCTATAAAGAAAATAGAAATCCGATTTGGTAAAAAGTTGAAAACAAACGAGACATTTTGTAAAAAAGTAAAATTTTGCCATTCTTATACCAGCTGTATGCCATGCATGACCACACTGAATTTTTTGGTAAAGGAAAATTACGAAATGAGGACACTTTTTTACAATGATTTGGAATTTTTAGCGAAAGGTTGAAAAGTGTGCGGGCATTGCGAAAGTGGGCTGCATGGCCCTCCAAATACTGGACAGAATTAGCGACAGTCTCGCAATTTTTGTTGTTCTTGGGTTAGTGACCCTCCACGGAAAAACCTACATTAACGGTTTGCAAAAACGGGCTGAAATACCGTTTGCTATCCGTTTTCTAACCGTGAAAAACAAAAACGGTTGCCGTGAAAAAAATTTAAACGCCCGTTTAAATTTTATTGCTTAGCGTTTAAACGGTTACCTTCGTTCAAAACGTGAAAACGTTTTCATCGATCCGTGAAAACGTTTTGACCGATCCGTGAAAAGATTTTGGTAGAGCTGTAAAAACGTTTTGCTTGGGTCGTAAAAACGTTTTGGTAAAGCCGTGAAAACGTTTTGGTAGAGCCGTAAAACGTTTAAATAAAACCGTGAAAATGTAAAGTTAATCGCAATAAAGTATTATCACAGAAGGGAAGACACAGAAACCCATTGCACTGCCAGAAACCCATCTCTGGGTCAACAGGCTTCAAAATCCTGGGTATTTTCGCAATTATATAATGAATACGCACAATCTGTTACCTCGTATATACACTAAGTAATTTGGCACGACCAATCTACTTTCGCGTTTATACCCATACATTTCACGATCCATTTTGGCAAAAACAACTAATTAATGCGTTATGCATGGAATCGTGTGCGAGTTTCCTGTTGTATTACATCAACTTTTATATACGCTATACTACACATATTCACAATATTTTCATTTTTCAACAAAGTGCATTTAACCAATTTTCGCCAGTGCGTGCATGTCAAAGTTTGAAAATGGGTTGGTAAAAAATCGCGATCGGTATGATATATATATATATATAAAATCGCCGTTTTTCTGCCATACCGATCGCTTTTTATACTACAGTTATATATGCTTTCATTTTGAGAACACACGACTACACAGTCATATTATAGCGTTATGCTGTGTAATCAGATTATTCTAATCTGTACTTAAAATTGACGCAATATTTATGTATGTTATTGAAAAGATTTGACCTCTAGATCTGTAGGAAAAATATGAGCTCTATGTCAAATCTTATTTAACTAAAAATTCTTGGTGGTCAAAAAATATCTCTAAATATTTCATGATGAAATGCTTTATTTCCTTCCAATATTTTAGAGCATCTGCCAAAACTTTAACAGTAGAATATAACTAGCATGTTATCTGAATAATATTATACGCTATATATCTGCGCTTTTGTTAGTTGAATATGCGATCGAAGGCCCGCGTTCCGTAATCCAAAGGTCATGACTTACGCCCTGTAAAGCAACTTAATACTCCGTCCTGGCGCAAAGGTGCACAATTCTTTAGCCAAACCATATAGCAATTACATATACTGCCCATATGGAAACAGCGGATCGAAACTGTCAAAAGTGCGCACAATTTTTTCTGCAAAGCATATAGCAGTGCAGTCGCCCATATAGACACGACAATCCCATGCAAATGCACGCACTGGGAGGTTTATACTCACAATTATGACAAAAAATCAATCCACATCATCTTCGAGACATCTAATTGTGACACAATTTGTGCCCCCTGCCTACGATAACCCAAGCAAGACTTCTCCAGAAACATTATGTGTTGATGCATAAAATGTATCTACTGACTCTCGTGTCTGGAAAAATCTTTTTTCTTGTCCTACCTGTCACAGCTTAGCAATTAATAAGGTTGCATCTACACACAAATTACTTCGGAATTTGCATACAATTTTTGGTAAGAAAAAATTTGGTTCTTTAAGTGCCGATCGATGCACCTATTTATGTTATCTCAGTTTTGTGACCATGCACCCAATTAAAGTACTCAAACCTCTTTGAACCTCTGGCAAACGATGTTCGATTTTACAATGTTCGCTGGACTGAAGTGATCTTGACCAAACAGCAACTTAATTTTTCGTGTCATATAGTCTACAAAATTTCATATAAGCCTTAAAGTGTACAAGTGTTATAATTATATGTTCTATATATTTTACGTCATTATACGTTATATTAATACACTGTATTGCAGTGCTGTAATACGAAATCTGGTGATTCATGATTTCATGATTTTCATCGATAGGCCTGATTTCAATGCTTGACGGGAATTATTTCCAAGCGCATTATTTTCGAAAGCGTTAAATTTTTCCATCTTAGATGTCCAAAACAAAATTAATGTGAACAAAATGGTGGAACACTACTCAGCTTTGTTAATCAGGCTGACATTGACAAAATGTTTGAAGCTACAGGAAAATCAGGACATGCATATTGGACGGGACATAAGAAATTCAAACAATTTTTTGAATTACGCGAAACGTATAAATCATTCAATCAATATGGCTTGACTGATCGATCAAGTTCAAAACCGCAAATTAAGTCTTTTTCATTTAACTCAAATGCTTTTATGCCTTTTGAATACAATTTTATATTCATACTTTAACCTGTTTTAGTTCATCCTATATACATCATGCACACACAGCTATCTTTTTCGTAATGAGGATTTGTTGTTAACCCACCGAAAAAAAAATGAAATCGACTATTTAAGACGATTCTTGCAATCCCACATAAATTACTTATATCACCTTTTTCTTTTCAAGGTAACGCCATAGATGACATATCAGTCAACATAACAATTGACAACTATGGGAGATTATTCACCGACACTGGGAAAAACTGCAGTATTGATAACCTCTTTAAGAGATCTCAACATTTCACTTTGCCAGGTGACACGAGAAATGTGACAATAAAAGCCCATAATGACCCACGCAATATTGGTGGAATTCTCGCCTCCTTCAACAATAACGTGGTCACGGATGACTCATGGGAATGTGCTCATGTGAAAGGTTGCACGTTCTCTTGTGATGATGGGAGTTCTCAACCTGCATGGAAACCAGCCGTTTCATATGGGAGAAATGATGATGTGACAACGGCATGGTATAAGAATAATAACAAGGGTAAAATAAAACACATTGAATCAAATGCACAATGGATTTGGGTTAAGAACAGGTTGGCAAAAACCGTGTGGTGCAGAAAGACGTTCGGTAAGTTGGGTGTGAATTTAAATACGTCATAATCGAAAAAATATTTTCACTTCTTGTCATTAGAAAAAATCAAAAAATTACTTACTCTTATTGCCGAGGAATGATAGTTAGTCGTTTACGACTAAACGCAAATGGGGCCGGTTGTATAAGACTATTTAACTACATTTGAATAGTTAAATCCTAGTTAACTCAGAAATACAAAACTCTGATTCGCCAATTCTGTCCTTAACTACAGTTAAAAGTTAACTAGTCTTTTATACAACCTGGCCCAGGATGAGTAAACTAACAAGGTGATAACTGAATTTCTATGACCATAGTATGAATGACAAAAGTTGGACGTCGAGAAATAGCATTTCTCAAAATATTACAAGCCGTAGAACAATCAAGTATCTCAAATATCTTTAATATTCCTGCAGCACCACCGTCCAGTGAACTGACCAAACAAACCTCAACCCAGGACACAGGTACTGGATGCATATGGTTCCCGACTACAAACATTGTTCATGTACTTTTTACCGCCATGCATTGCGGTGGGTTTTTTTTTAAAAAGATTGTATTCACAAGTCAAAACCTTTAAAGAAAGACAATTAAAACAAGGGTGATCTCAAGTCTGTTAGGATCACCAACAATAAATTGCCATATTTCATTTTGGTAATATGTAAATGCTGCTATTTTCTCGCAGTGAAAACTTATATAAAGTCTAACCTCTTGAAGAATAATAATGTTTATATCACATTATATGTTATTCGATAATTTTATTGTCCCAGGAGCAACTTTTTATTGTTATTTTTTAGCTGAAACTACATAAAAAACTAACAAAAGTCCATGATTTCTCTTGCAGCACATATTAATTCGTCGAGTCAGCCTCGAATACAAACATCAGCAAACGTTAAAGGTGCAGATATTTGCACATATTTTATATTCTTTATCATTTTATCATGCGGGATAAACCCGTTTATAAATTATAATAATAAAACCAGCTGTGTATATTAGGATCTCTCAGTTATTCATTAAGTTGGCCTTATAATTATATACATTGTCCATTTTTGGCGCAGAAATTCATTTGTTTAATTTTCTAGTTTTTCTTGCAGCACCTCGTTCGTCAAGTCAACTTCCTTCACAAAAATCTCAGCACGATACAGGTATGAATGTGTGCATGTATATTCCCTCAATTAATAACGTTTTATAAGAACTAAACATCTTCACTTTTCCTCGTAGCAACTTCATCTTTGTGTCATCTTCCAACGAGCACAACTTCACATGGTAAATGTAAGAACATGTGTAAATATATTCTTTATATCTCGTGATAGTTTATAGTTTAATCCTTTCATGAACAATAAATTAACTATAAGATCTCTTATACGAACTGAATAACTTCAATTTTCCTCGTAGCAACAACATCTTCCTTGAGTCATCTTCCAACGAGTACAGCTTCACATAGTAAAGGTAAGAACATGTGTAAATATATTCTTTATATCTATCTTGTGGATTGTAGTTCAACCCAACTCTTTCGGAAAAAAATTGACCACAACATTGTTTGTTCAATTATGTCTATAAATTTTAAACATTTTGCTTTTTATTTTTATTTTTAGCAAGAGCTGCCTCTTCTTCTCGGGCTGGTATGTACTAAGTTATCATGTGTAATCCATTTTACTAATAGCATAATGTACCTTTGTGTACCCGATTACCGCCGGCCAGTAATATCGTAGTAGATCTAGATCAGAGTATATTACTAACCATACAGAACACCAGAATCATAATTGCGTTCTAAATATATATCCGTTTATAAAGTCATCATTAAAAACTATTCTCAAAAATTATACTCAGCCGAATTTCCAGTTACTAGTTCTAAAAGGAATTTCGCGAGTCAGCCTCGAATACAAATATCTGCAAACGTTAAAGGTGCAAACATTTGCACATAATATATATTCTTTATCATTTTATCATGCGGCATAAACCCGTTTATAAACTATAAAAATAAAACCAGCTGTATATATTAGGATCTCTCAGTTATTCATTAAGTTGGCCCCATATATCCATTGTCCATTTTTGGCGCAGAAATTCAAATGTCAGTTAATTTTTTAGTTTCTCTTGCAGCACCTCGTTCGTTGAGTCAACTTCCTACACAAACATCTCAACACGATACAGGTAGGAATGTGTGCATGTATACTACCTCCATGAAGAACTTTTTATAAGGCCACTAAACATCTTCAATTTTCCTCGTAGCAACTTCATCTTTGAGTCATCTCTCAATGATTACAACTTCAAATGGGAAAGGTATAGGAACATGCGTAAATATATTTTTTATATCTCGTGATTAAGAACATGTATAAAGTATGTTCTTTGTATCTCGTGATTATATAGTTTAATCCTTTCATGAACAATAAATCAACTATAAGATCTCTTATAAGAACTAAACATCTTTAATTTTCTTCGCAGACACTTCTTCTTTGAGTCATCTTCCACAGACCACAACTTCAAATGGTAAAGGTAAGAACATGTATAAAGTATATCCTTTATATCTGGTGATTGTATAATTTAATCTTTTCATGAACAATAAATCAACTATAAGATCTCTTATAAGAACTAACATCTTGAATTTTCTTCGCAGAAACTTCTTCTTTCAGTCATCTTCCAACGACCACAACTTCAAATGGTAAAGGTAAGAACATGTATAAAGTATATTTTTTATATCTCGTGATTGTATAGTTTAATCCTTTCATGAACAATAAATCAACTATAAGATCTCTTATAAGAACTAAACATCTTTAATTTTCTTCGCAGAAATTTTTTCTTTGAGTCATCTTCCAACGACCACAACTTCACACGGTAGAGGTAAGAACATGTATAAGGTATATTCTTTATATCTTGTGATTGTATAGTTTAATCCTTTCACGAACAATAAGTCAACTATAAGATCTCTTATCAGAACTAAACATCATTAATTTTCTTTGCAGAAACTTCTTCTTTGCGTCATCTTCCAACGACCACGACTTCAAATGGTAAAGGTAAGAACATGTATTTAGAGTATATTCTATATATCTCGTGATTGTATAGTTTAATCCTTTCACGAACAATAAGTCAACTATAAGATCTCTTATAAGAACTAAACATCTTTAATTTCCTTCGCAGATATTTCGTCTTTGAGTCATCTTCCAACCAGCGCAACTTCAAATAGTAAAGGTAAGAACATGTATAAAGTATATCCTTTAAATCTCGTGATTTTATAGTTTAATCCTTTCATGAACAATAAACCAACTATAAGATCTCTTATAAGAACTAAACATCTTTAATTTTCTTCGCAGAAACTTCTTCTTTGAGTCATCTTTCAACAACCACAACTTCACATCGTAAAGGTAAGAACATGTATAAGGTATATTCTTTATATCTCGTGATTGTATAGTTTAATCCTTTCATGAACAATAAATCAACTATAAGATCTCTTATAATAACTAAATATCTTGAATTTTCTTCGCAGAAACTTCTTCTTTGAGTCATCTTGCAATGACCACAACTTCAAATAGTAAAGGTAAGAACATGTATAAAGTATATTCTTTATATATCGTGATTGTATAGTTTAATCCTTTCACGAACAATAAATCAACTATAAGATCTCTTATAAGAACTAAACATCTTTAATTTTCTTCGCAGAAACTTCTTTGAATCATCTTCTAACGACCACAACTTCAAATGGTAAAGGTAAGAAAATGTATAAAGTATAATCTTTATATCTCGTGAGTGTATAATTTAATCCTTTCATGGACAATAAATCAAATATAAGATCTCTTATAATAACTAAATATCTTGAATTTTCTTCGCAGAAACTTCTTCTTTGAGTCATCTTCCAACGAGCACATCTTCACATGGTAAAGGTAAGAACATATGTGTAAATACATTCTTTATATTCCGTAGATTATTTAGACTTCAGAACTTTTCAGAGGCTGCTGACTGAAATATTGTGTATTTAACTAACCCGACTTCAACACTTCCTTTCTTTTTATATTTAGGAAATGGCATGTCATCTTCTCGGGCTGGTAAGTAATAAGTTGTCCGTGTGATCCATATCTTACTAGCTATAGCATGCACTAATACACTATAGGGTGTCCCTTTCATGTTGTCACTGAAAATCATGAAAAATGATACGCCAATCGAGGATAAATGCAAGTTTTGTTACTTTCTCTTCAGCTTGCGTTGGCATGGCTACAACTCGTGTTGAGAATCACAAGCTCGAGGGTTTTGTTTTTAAAGAATTTCAGGTTAAAAATGTTGCACAATGCGGCATGAAGTGCTTCGGTGAGAAAGATTGTCAATCATTTAATTTCATTCCCTCCTCACTGAGTTGTGAACTCTTTAATTCAATTGAACATTTGGGCTCAAAAAACCTCAAACCATGTCTTGGTGTGACATATTTCTACAAGAACTGACAAAAGTGAAAGTCTTATATCAGTGCAAAACAAGGCTGCTCAATGTTTCATTAACAAACTATTATAATTTAAATTTTCAATCAAACTATTGTAATCGTAAAGTCAACTCATGGATAAATATTCAACTCTCATAAACTCTATCAAAGAAATAGTGTTAAGTTTAAACTTTATAGCCAGTGTAGGTATGCAATTATGTTCATTAGAAATTTCAGAAATTTAAACTTTTGTGGAGTTGGCATCGATTGAGAAAGTCTGAATTAAGGCGAGTCTATAAGGCTAACTGAAAGTCACTGATCTCAGTTTACTTGTCGTAAACTCTCGTCGTCTCATCGTACAAGCTACGCCATCTCTCGGTCGTAACGTGAGCCTTTCCCTGATTCGCTGACTTTGCCCTGGCACTAGCTGTAGTTGATAGATCTGAAAAAGCCGGACCAATAATAATTTGATTTGGATCTCAGCAGAAACTTTTCCAATGCAGTTTCTTTGTCCAAGCGAAAATGGAAAATATACACCAGAATTGGTCGACGATTTTGAATGATTTTTATTGCTAAAGCGATGCGGGTCGAATGTCTAAAATATAAAATAAAATGAAATAGGTTTACAAAACTTTCTAAACGAATAGGCTATTTTCCGGCGTACTCGACCATGGTCGAATACGCCGTTTTTTAAAAATATTGAAGAATTTTGACCATTAGTGTACATTTTGAGGCATTGATTTTCCATGGTTTCGGTTTTGTTTTAAAGGGATTTTGCCCCCCGGAACACCCGATTTCTTCTCATACGTCGCAACTGCGTATGTGCCGTCGAGCCTTGAACATTATTCACGATGTATTAAAAGAATCGAGGAGCGACGAGCATTGTTTTAAGACATACCGGGCGTAAAATCGAGCAATGCAATTCTTAGAGAATCTACACTATTTATCAACTTATGTTATGAATTATGAGCATTCAATATTTAATTCAACACAAATATAATTTGGAAGGTTTATTCCATAAATAGAGCTAAGAGGTTAGGAAGAAACGATGCACTGTTGTTTATGTATTGATAGATCTCTTACACGAATTATATATATTATGTTGATAGCAAGTTGAAAGCGAGTCGATTATGTTGATAGCAAGTCGATATTCTGCGTATAGTAAAATGATACTATACAAAACGGACATTTTGTGCAGTAATCAAATAATTTTGGCGGTATACAGTATTGATTATAAGTATCCACATCATATATAGACATAATATGCACGGTGGTTTATTGCTGCCGTTTACCAGCACGGCAGCACACTATTCTTGACATCGGACGTATATATAGTCGAAATCTCGATTTTTGTCTGTCCTTCTGTCTATCACAGATTTCCGGGGGATTTTTTACGGAATGAGGGGGGGCGCTGCATTTTTAATATTTCACCCATATGCTGATAAAAATCAGAAGAAAATTTTTAAAATATGCCCCTCCATACGGCTGATATACATATCCAGGGGCTATAGGGCTGTTTATTCCAGCGAAAATAAGCCGTTTATTTCGAGCGAAAATAAGCCGCGGCCTAAATAAGTCTCGAACAGCGCGTTGATATGGGATATTGTTATTATATTATATTATTCCAAATTGGTTGCATGCAAACACTCGTATAAACGATTCAAATTCGTTGTCGCAAGTCCCGGCCGCCAAGACAGTTTTTGCAGTGTAAATTGATGCTGAACACCAATGTTTAATTAGGATTTGGTCGTCGTGACTTGTTTTGGACGAGCTCTACTAAAGGCTGGGTTTATTTAGGTCGTGATTTATTTTCGCTCGTATAAATGGCCCTATTGTATAGATTAATCAAAAACAAGTTTGAATGTCTTACTGCGACTATGAAATAATGTAAGTAACAGTTTAATTGTTCTAGACCCAGGTGTTGATCTATTATCTTTCTCTGTGGACAATGATTGTTATATAGCCTGTACAAAAGAAAATTACTAACAATGGAAATGTTTAGTTGTACAGAGACAGAGGAATAAAATTATGGGAAGACATTATATGTTTTTCACTATTTGTTTGAGGCATACCACATTTGGAATCCATTGCTTGTAATAAATTCTATATGGTTTCATCCTTTTTATGTGCATATAGTACCAAATGTAATTTTAATTAAATTTTAATTATTTTAATTTTATAAAATGTTACAAAAGTGCTTAGCATGTGTTGATTTCAGTGGCGTAGTCAGCCTGACGACTTAGTCATTCTATGCAAATTTTCTGTTATTACCATTATCACCTACTTTATTATTATCACCTACTTTTGGAGAACAACAGGAGAAAAAAATTGTCAAAGGAAATTTTGTCGTGTAAAAGCGACTTAATCACCGATCCTTGTTTGTACAAAGTTATTTTGCGTATGGCAGCACTTCCTTTGCGATAGTAACTTCTAGATTCCATTATTTACAACGCAACTATTTTGGCTATTCTTGTGAAATGACGGATAAATTGTTGCCATCATATAAATGTAGTGAATGTAGTCACAGTTGTTTGACGAAGAAAAGAGACTTAACTGAGAAAATCGCGCCCGCAGTTTAAATGGGCAATTAAAATTATAATCTAATAATGGCAATATCCGCGACTAACGTATAAACGTAACTTGATCACGAGCACTTTGAGTAATTTCCTTTTGATTAATGTTCAACCTAGTTCATTATATTTTTTTCTGGCACAAGTCTAAATGTTTATGTTGGGACAAACGTCTGGTTGATTAGGCAATTACAGGGCATGGAAACTTTGCATTATCCTTGGATCCCAAGCTAATAATTCGATTGGAGCTTGGTGTGGGAGATTGCGTTTTAAACCGATCAACATTTTTTACACTTTCAAAGTAACCCAATCAGAACTCATATGAAATTGCATGATTGAAAACATTCGAACAAATTTATACGACGCACAGTGTCCTTTAACAGCTAAACGCCGTGAACTCCGGTGAACGCAGTGAACTTTCATTATTATGGCTTTTCAAGATCCCCTATTCAGATTTGTTGACGAGCGGTCCGTCAAAACCCTGAACCAGTATCCCGGATGTCCCATGCAATTCTACCATATATAGAAAGGTTATTGTCTATTGACCTCGCTTCTTCGATATGTGATGTGAAATGTGAACCGATTTTTTTGGAAGAACCTCGCTCCTTTGTCGCTCGGACAGTACAGACCTCACGCTCGGTGAATAATCAGTTAATATACTTAAGCTTCGAAATAACTGATGAGCTTTAAAAAGATAGCCGAATGCGCACTCAGAAGTCCGTCAAAGCTTTATAAATACAAATTTCTGGTGTCCGCACAAACACTACTTTATATTTAAGGACATGCAGGGAGAGCATCGAGAGGGAAAAAATCCACAAAAATCTATTTCCGGGCTTAGAAAATAAAACTAGGGATCCAAGGATAGTGCAAAGTTTTAGCTATAATGCAAATGCTGTTATACTTGTGATTGTGCAAAAATGCGCGGTTATCCATATTATCCGTTTTAAGTATAATAAAACGCTTTTTCGTGAGTCTAGGTAATTGTCGAGAGTCGAGAGTGTAAAGTCGAGAGTCGAGAGTATAAAGTCGAGAGTCGAAAGTATCAGGTCGAGAGTCCTAAAAATCCCAATTTTCGCACACAAGGAGTATTTCTACTTATATATTACGTTTATTTTTACTAATATTACACTGCAGTTTACTTGTGAATTGACGCTTCATGTTTCAACTTCCGAGGTAAAATATTATTGTGATGCGTATTATCTTATCAATATATTTCATCTATTATCGAGAAAACAAAAGCTACGGCAAGCGGGCAAGGTGTGCGTCTAGCTCAATTTTTACGTACATCATTATTTTGCGAGTTGTGCTTTTGAGGAATATAGCTCAAACAAACAACCCGTTCTCGCCTGAACTGAAGTATTAAATAAATGATGTAAACATTTTATAATAAAATATTTCTGAGAAGAATCCCACAAGATACTTTCAAATTGCACTATACTGTATAAACCTTAAAGTAAATAAACCTTGCATGATTTACATAACCGATGCGTGAATCGATCACTTGTCCTGACAGCACGAAAATATAACCAAACATACTCAAATTACATTACTATAGTCGCGATATTATATATGGATATCAACCATAACAATATAATTAGCCTTGAATGCCTACTGTGTGGATCCATGCACAGTTTTCATTTTGAAGCATTTTTTATGACAGTAAAATTGGTTTGTGCATAGGCGTACGGGACTTTTAAAATGTGGTCGCGCAGATGAAACATGGTCTAACGTAATTAATGTAATAGTTACTTTGCCCTTCTTTTGGACTGATTGGACGCCTGTATATATTCAAAACCGATCCGTCTATTTACATAACCATATGCGCGCAATCGCCCTATAGCCTACCTAAATAAAATACAAAGCACTAAATAAATATAGCTCTATGAAGTTGTGCTGTAAGAAAACGAACTAAATAATATTAGCACTTAATTGTCAACATTTTAGCGTGAATTAACTGCAATACGTAAAATACAAAACAATCCTATGCTTCATGAAGTTTGTGTTGTCTAGCACTGTATTCAATGAAGTATACGATCTAAACAAATCGCGCAGTGTAATATTCGATGCGTGTGTTTATAACAAGCGCGCATCAATGGATCAGTTCAAATATAGTGTTTATTACGTGTAGTAATAGTGCATGTCGTGTAGCACCTTAGCATACCATTTAACCTGATAATACTGATCGGCACTTGCTAGTAATATCGCCATTTGCTTCAGATTTGTACATTTTAAACAGAACTGTCTCGCTCCATTGTTTCTCTATAACAAACAGTAATTATTAAGCACTGTTATGGTTAAAAAATTTTTAACCTCCATAGTCGATTATACAGCAGTATCAATTGCTATCAACACAAAGTCATGTTAGATTCGTGAAGTAACAAGTACATTATCAAAATAAGTCGTGTATATTATGTTATGCGTGTAGTTAAAATACGATAGTGGATGTGGACGTATTCTTTCTTGGTTCTGCGTTTAATGAGTTCACAAATTCTCGAACATTTGCTCGCTTTTCGCTTAAAATATTTCAAAACAACACTTCGTCGCTCCATCGCTCCTTATTGTATTTTGCGCTTCTGAATATTAATCGCGGCCTTATGCGCATTAATGCGCTGTTCAAGATGAAATCGCGTGTACCGGGGGGAACAACACACATATCATCGTAACGAATGTTATAAAATTTACAATAACCACAGTAATTCTTTCATATTTTGTTTAAATTGGAAAATGCTAAAAGAATATACAAATCAGAAAACTATATACTTGATCAAACAAACTTCCTGATACCCACCCACATAGGATCAAAGACGACAAACAAAAAAGACTCCGCCCCCCGGAGTTTACACTATGACTGACTGACTGACTGACTGACTGTCTGATGTGAATTTTCGCCACTCACCACAATACTGCAAAGTTTCACAGAAACTTTGCACTAAAAAGGATTAGAAATATTCTGATTTAGTTTGTATTCTTTTGCGAGATTTTGTGGCCCTAAAAAGAGCCGTTTGTTTGTTTTTCGTCTTTAAATTGTAGCGGTTATCTATCCACCAAAGCCGTACAGAGTTCGCCCTTGTCTTTTGAGTGCGTACACAACATCCATAGCTGTCACGGTCTTTCTTTTGGCGTGCTCGGTGTAAGTGACTGCATCACGGATCACATTCTCAAGGAACACTTTAAGAACACCGCGAGTTTCTTCGTAGATGAGACCAGAGATACGTTTAACACCACCGCGACGAGCGAGGCGACGAATGGCGGGCTTCGTGATTCCCTGGATGTTATCTCGCAGGATCTTACGATGACGTTTTGCACCTCCCTTTCCGAGACCCTTTCCTCCTTTACCACGTCCAGACATCTTCGAGCACTTTCTTCGGTTTTTCTTCTACTGTGTCTTCGAGCTTGTTTGTGAGTGAGAATGATATCAAGGAACAGAAATCGCAGTCCTTATATATGGCTTGGTGGCGGACGTCAACGAAGACATTGGCGTAAATACTCGCTGATTGGTTCATGTTCTCATAATTTACATACGCCCGTGCACTTCATGCAAATATTGATCCTAACTTTTCTCAAGCTCAATATTCGTTTTCATTCTTTTAGTTAAAATTTTTTACTTGGATCAACGGTGAGGTTCAACAGTCATTTTGCCATAGCCATATAATATCTCCCTAGGCATGGCCATAGACGAGAAATCTGAACCAAGTGGAAGTGCCAGTCAAAGATTTACGACGATTTCGAGGGTTCTCAAAATCGCTTTTTGTCCATTTTATTGCTTAGACCCGCGCGATCCAAGGAAACTGAATATGCTTTATAGGTTAAATTAGCTTCAATTTTTAGCTTCAAAATTGACGGTGTTTACACCGTTTTGGCGTGAAAACGAATGTGAAATGCTTGAAAACCTTACCGCGAGCACATTATTTATTTATCGGTTGTACAAGTATCGGTCAAATGGTTTTAACTTTTAAACTTTTACGAAAGTACAAAAAAGAGAAGTACTGTCAGTTAATGAGTTTACAAAACTATCTGTCAGTGTCTCTTGCTAACCCATTTGCTTGCAATGCACCCAGATGTGACCTACTATTGTATTTTAGGTCTGATAGGTCAATAACTTACAGCTGTTGTTCCCTGACAGTTTGTATTGGATTCACATTTTACAATAAACAAAGAAGAAACTTTGCTTCTCTGAGATGAGAGAGTACGAAAAGTATGGATTATTAAAGGAGCCCTGGTGTTAGAAAGAGCAGGGTTTTATATTGATGGATTATAATATAAGATTGGGAGGGCCTTAAAGAGGGAGTTGTTATAGGGGGTTAATCAGAGAGAGAGGATTATTGCGTAAGAGAGGAATCCTACAAAGGAGGGGTGTTATCACCACGATGTATCCTTTTCAGAGTTAATTATTGACGTTATAGTGAACTTTATAGATTAGAGTGATTGACAGCTACGCTGGGGGTAATAACGAGGAAGCGTGCGATATATATTTTGATATTTTGTGGGAGAAGTAACATAGAACGAAGAACATGTTAATATAAAGAGTTTAATAAGAACATATCGATTGTTATAAAGCTGCAAGGTCATGTAAGTAGATCATAGAAATATTGTTATTGTTATAGTGGATTGATAGTAACATTCTATTGCATGTATTTTAGTGAATCGCCTTGATAATAGCGCCTTGAAATAGCGCCTGGAAAAGTGTGAATAAAATAAAGAGAAACCAATCGATCATATATGGTGATATCTAGCCTTGTAGCTATTTTAGAACTGAAATAAATCACGAAACTGAAAGAATATAACATCGTTCAATGACCTTGTCGATTCCGATCGAATCTTGACTTTGTTTGGTGGAATCAAATACACGAACGAACGTATTGTTTACGTATTACGCATTTGAAATTCTGAACCGAAACGTATTAAACTCGAACAAGTTATGCGTTTAAAACTGATATAAAACGTTATAATGGATAAACCGAATGAGAAAGGCGAAGAAAGTGTAACGTCTAGTGAAAAAGGCGGTGAAAAACCGCCCGAAGAGCCTGATATTCATGACAAATATGCGAAAAATAATACGAGCAACACCCACGAAAATATCGAAGCTGAAATCGAACTAGGTCTACGGCGTAGCAGAAGACAGAAAATACCGAATTATACTGATAGAGAATCTGTAGAAAATGAGGAAATATATCGCCAAAAGCGTAACCTAGGCGGTTGCCAAGGGCGTGTAACAGCCATGATAAATCATTTAGATAGTTGTATCGCGAACGGGTACGGACCCGACGACATTATGGGGCTCATAGAATCCCTTGAAAATGCATGGAAAACTTATAATATGGCGTACGGAAAGTATATCTCGAAGAACTTGCCAGAAGAAGAGTTCGCGCGTGTCGAGGAGGCATATTCAAGTATTAGTAAAAACTATACTTCCTCTGTTTGTGGAGCGCAAGAATGGGTACGTCATTGTCAATTAATGACGATGCAACAGCAAGCCACAGCACCTTGAAGCAAAAGTGTTTATTCAAAATCGGTTTCGACAAAATCTTCGAAGAGTTCAAGAGGGAAGAAAGCTAAAGTGGAGGCAGAATTGAAGCGATTAGCAGCTATCCAAGCCGAAGAAGATGCGATGTTTGAATCTGAGTTTGAAAGGAAAAAGATTGAGAATAGAATTTAAAATTCGTGAGAAAGTAAGAAAGCTGAAAGCAGAGGCTGCTCTCGCAGAGCGAAAGGCAGAACTAATACAAGATGATGACAGTGATGACCTGTCGAGTCCGAATGGCGAAAACAAATCTAGCATAAGTAATAAGTCTCTACCAGTCAAGAATACACAATTAACAAAGATAGAACAGACCGAGTTATGGGCAAAATCATGTCCAAGCGTAACATCAAATGATCGCGCCGCCTTTAAAAATTTAGAGCCCACTTGGTGTGATGACGACAAACCAAAACGGGATGACAACAGAAATGACATGGTAGAAAGTAAAACTGGAAAAAACGAACATGGTAGTTTACACCATACCAAGACTGCTGGATGTGAAAATCCTAAACCGGAAGCGAGTAAAAACCTGGATGGTCAAGCAGTAATGTTAAAAGTAAATATGCTTCAAGCGATGCAACCCGTGAAATTTGATGCCAACCCAGCGGACTTTCCTACTTTCAGAAAAAGGCTAATCGACAAAAATGAGGATGGTATTCTAAATGACAGTCAAAAAATTGAGTTTCTCCCTAAGTTTGTGTCGGGAGAAGCGTATGAAACCGTTAAAAGAGTTACCGGCTGTTCTTACCCGGATATCGTCGCGATTTTGCAAGAACGATATGGCCAGCCAGCAAGAGTGGCTGCCTCTTGTATTGAGTCCTTGATATCCGGTCCAAAGTTAACGAACACTGACTACAAAGGATTGCGTAACTTTGCTGAACAGCTCACATCGTCTGTGAAAAGACTTGATACTGAATACGAACAAGAAGCAAGCACAACATCGAATTTAAACTTGATCGCCGCCAGGCTTCCAAGCTATCTGATCAACAAATGGGGAGACGCGTCATACTCGATAAGAGAAAGTGGAAGATAGCCACGACTCAAGGATCTTGCACAATTTGTCAAAAGACAAGCGGCCATCAAGAATGATCCTGCGTTTATAGGATCCATCACTGGGAAAAACATGGATGTAAAGCCAAAATTGGGCGGATGGCGCGGACGGAAGAACGAAGACACCAAAAGAATGAGGGAAACCCTGACATACAATACCGATCTTGAGAAGAAGAGAACAGAGGAAGGTCGTGAGAAAGATAATAACAACCCGAAACCCTGGAAAACAAAATGGCCAAAATGTGCATGTTGTCCACGGTCCCATCAACTCGCCTTTTGTCCAGAATTCAATAAGAAAGATTTGAATGCAAGATGGGAAATCGTGAAGGAACAGAGACTATGTCATGTGTGCATGAAGGTTGGACATTTCAGAGAGAATTGTCGCAGTACCGACTCCTGTCCCTGTGATAGTCAGAGGAAACATCACGTGCTGCTCCATAACACGAGGAAAAAGGATGATAATAATAACTCTAATGACAAGAAATTAACCGAGGATACAGAGGAACGCAACAAATTACAACGTGATAAAGAAAAGAAGACCGAACAGTATGCAACAATAACAAACACGGCCTCGAAATTGGTGTTACTTCATGTAGTTCCTGTGCAAGTAATATCTCCTGAGGGAGCATCGCTGACCACATATGCTCTATTAGACAATGCCTCACGCGGAACAATGATAAGTGCAGAATTAGCAAAAGAGTTAAATCTTAAAGGAAGAAAGGAAACAGTAGTTGAGTTTGACCTGCGACCCGCTTCATCGGAAGGAGAGAAAATTAAGGTCAAAGAGGGTCTGGTGTCCGAGAAGTTTAACATCGCTGAAAGATATTTACCAAAAGATGTCGACAGAAACCTGTATCCGCATTTGGCTGACCTTGACATACCAGATGTAACTCTTGGCAAGGTGTCGGTGTTAATTGGCAAGGACGTGGAAGAAGCACACGAAGTCATGGAGATTCGTAAATCGAAGAAGCCCGGTAGACAACTACAAGGCCAACGAGGCCCTCTGGGATGGGTCATAACAGGTACTCTAGATGGTGATTCAATGAAGAAAGACGTAAGCGTTAATTACAATGACTGTGATAAAACATTGCATGAACAAATTGAGAACTTCTGGAGTATCGAAGGGTATGGAACAAGAGCCACTGGACATGAAAGGGCAAAAGATTACCTTCCAAACGGAAGTATGTCAAAGGAAGACGAACGTGCGCAGAAAATATTGGAAGAGACGTTCAAATTGAAAGATGGTCACTATGAGACAGGGCTTCTATGGAAAGATGATAACACAATTTTGCCTGATAACAGGAAGCAGGCTGAGAAGAGACTAGAAGGCTTGAAACGACGCTTTAAAAGAGAACCCGACCTCGAAACGAAATATCGCTCGGTAATGGAGGACTATCTCGACAAAGGGTACGCACGTCGCCTTTCACCAGACGAAATCCGTGAATCCGGACCAAGAAAATGGTACCTACCCCATTTCCCGGTATTAAACCCAAATAAACCAGAAAAAGTGAGAATCGTATTCGATGCCGCCGCAGAATTTGACAACACCTCGCTAAATAAGAACCTACTACAGGGACCAGACCGCACGAACAGCCTGGTTGGTGTTCTATTAAGATTTCGCCAAGAAAGCGTGGGAATAGCAGCTGATATCGAGAGTATGTTCCACCAAGTTAAGGTTTGCCCGAAAGATCAAGATTCACTGAGGTTTTTGTGGTGGCCAGACAACCTTGAAAAACCTCCGGAAGAATACGTGATGACAGTCCATATTTTTGGTGCAACTGATTCCCCTTGCGCAGCAAATTCAGCTCTGAAAAAAACAGCTGATGATAACGAGGCAGACTTTGATCCAGGAACTATAACTACCGTGAAGAAGAACTTCTATGTGGACGATCTTTTAAAGTCTTTAAATACGACTGCAGAAGCTATCCATCGAGCAGAAGAATTGATCAAATTGTGTGAGCTAGGCGGTTTCAACCTGACGAAGTTCATGAGTAATGACCGCGACGTACTGTCGTCGATTGCTGCCGAGAAACGAGCCGATCCAAATCTTGACCTCAGCTTGGATAAACTGCCCATTGAAAGGGCTCTTGGCACACGCTGGAATCTCGAGTCAGACGAATTGGGATTCAAAGTATCAGAATTGAAGAAACCTGACACAATGAGAGGAGTTCTGTCCACGATATGCACTATTTTCGACCCTTTAAATCTCGCTGCACCGGTAATGTTAGTGGCAAAGAAGTTAATGCAGGATTTGTGGAGAAAGAAGTATTCCTGGGACCAACAACTTGAAGGAGAAATACTACGCAGATGGCAATGTTGGAAGGAAAGTCTTCATCTCCTGAGTAAAATAACGATTCCAAGATGCTATTATACCAATCCTCAGCACGAAGAAAGTACCCTGGAACTACATAATTTCAGTGACGCATCAGAAGTAGGATATGGATCCGTCACGTACCTTCGTATCAGTTATCCAGACGGAAAGATAGAGTGCTCGTTCGTCGCTGGAAAGGCGCGAAATGCACCAGTAAGGACCGTTACCATCCCGAGGCTCGAACTGCAGGCGGCCGTTTTGGCTGCACGAATGGGCAAGTCTATCAAAAGAGAGCTGGAGCTTGACATTAAAAGAGTGTTTTTCTGGACGGACTCGATGATCACCCTTAGCTATATTAACAACGAAACGCGACGCTTTCAAACCTATGTTTCGAATCGAATCGCAGAAATCCACGAACTAACGTCGCCTGAGCAGTAGAAACACTGCCCTGGCGCTGAAAACCCAGCTGATGACGCTAGCCGAGGATTGGAAATGCCCTTTTTTCTACAAAACGAACGGTGGTTGTCTGGGCCAGCTTTCCTTTTACAGCCGGAAGAAAAATGGCCGAAGACCCAGCTACAACATGTCCCAGAAACTTCACTCGAATTGAAGAAAGAAGTATATGTCATTGAAGTTAGCCATGTGAAGTCCTTGGATGAACTTATCAAAAGTACCTCATGCTGGCTGAAATGTTTACGGAAGATCGCATGGCTCCAGAAGTTTGTTAAATGGATCGAATGCAAGAAAAGGAAACCTCAGTCACGAGACGTAAAACGGATCACATTAAAAGACCTCGAAGATGCGAGACGTAAAGTGATCAAGCTCGTTCAAAGGCAAGCCTTTAAGGAAGAAATAACGAGGTTAGTAAAGAGTCTGACGGTCAAGGGCAGTAGGCTGGCAAGTTTAAAACCGATCCTGGACGAAGAAGCCATCATACGAGTCGGGGGAAGAATATCAAAGGCACCAATTTCCCGAGATGCCGCAAACCCAATGATATTGCCAAGGAAGCACCATGTGACTGAGATCTATATTCGTTTTTTGCACGAACAGAACGGTCATTGCGGGCATGAACAAGTTCTGGCGCTATCAAGAGAATTCTGTTGGATCCTGAAAGCACGTGCGGCGATAAGAGAAGTTTTAAACGGATGTATCAAATGCAAACGACGAACTGTAGTAAGACAGGACCAAGAGATGGCCGAACTGCCTAAGGCTCGACTCACTCCATACGAACCAGCCTTTACCTATTCAGGAGTGGACTACTTTGGCCCCTTTTTTGTTAAGCGTGGAAGAGGAAAAACGACCGAAAAACGATGGGGAGTGATATTCACCTGCATGAACAGCAGAGCAGTTCATCTAGAAGTAGCGAGGTCGCTAGAAGCCGACGATTTCATTTTAGTCTTGGTTCGATTTTTAAATCGAAGAGGACACGTGAAAGAAATGCGTTCTGACAACGGAACACACTTCGTCGGCGCCGAGCGTGAAGTCCGAGAAGCTATCCAGCAGCTGGACGAAACGAAGATTAATAACGAGTTATCTAAGAGAGGATGTAAATGGGTTTTTCATCCACCAGGAGCCTCGCACATGTCCGGTGTATGGGAAAGACTGGTTCGAACTGTGAAAAGAAGCTTGAAAGCTATAGTCGGGAAAGATCTAGTAAACGAGGAAGTTCTGCAGACGGTTTTTACTGAAGCTGAACGTATTGCGAACGCACGACCGCTCACCCGGAATCCACTAAGCCCAAACGACGATGAACCCCTTACGCCAAACCATTTCCTTAACGTTCGTCTAGCGATTTACCTACCCCCCGAGATTATTTCCGAGAATGACAAATATAGTAAGAAGAAATGGAGACGAGCGCAACTACTTGCAAATCATTATTGGAGAAGATGGCTGCGGGAATATATACCAACATTACAAGAGAGAAAGAAATGGAATGAGCCCAAGAGAAATTTGCAAGTTGATGACCTGGTATTTATTGCGGATGATAATGTACCCAGAAATACGTGGCCAATGGGAAGGATCGTAGACGTATTCCCTGGTCCGGATGGACGAGTAAGGACAATTGACGTAAGATCAAAAAACTCGGTATACAGACGTCCGGTCGCGAAAGTTTGCTTACTAGAAGCTGCTGATGATCAAGATATGTAAACGGACAGTCGTTGAAACGTGGTGAAAATTAGAATCGGTTTATGATGAACTACATCTACAACAGATCGTTCATGGGGGGCGGGATGTTATCACCACGATGTATCCTTTACAGAGTTAATTATTGACGTTATAGTGAACTTTATAGATTAGAGTGATTGACAGCTACGCTGGGGGTAATAACGAGGAAGCGTGCGATATATATTTTGATATTTTGTGGGAGAAGTAACATAGAACGAAGAACATGTTAATATAAAGAATTTAATAAGAACATATCGATTGTTATAAAGCTGCAAGGTCATGTAAGTAGATCATAGAAATATTGTTATTGTTATAGTGGATTGATAGTAACATTCTATTGCATGTATTTTAGTGAATCGCCTTGATAATAGCGCCTTGAAATAGCGCCTGGAAAAGTCTGAATAAAATAAAGAGAAACCAATCGATCATATATGGTGATATCTAGCCTTGTAGCTATTTTAGAACTGAAATAAATCACGAAACTGAAAGAATATAACAAGGGGTATGTGGAAGGAATTGTTATAGAGAAGATTGAGGTATATTTGTGAGGGATATACTACAGAAAGGTATAAAGAAATGATTATCATAGTGAGGATGGATTGGAGGTACCAGGAAGGACACTAAAAGAGAGTGGTCACACTATTGAGAGGTTTATGTTTATGATCTTGTCACCACCTGATTGTTTAGATTCACCATCTTAATCCTCGTCCTCCTGTGTCAGTTTCACTTTCGTCAACAACGCAGCCACGCAGGTTGAGTCTTCCCATCATTTGCATTGTAAATTGCATCAACTGAGAGCTGGCCAGATTTCTGAACAGCATGAATGACGCTGTGGTTCATCTCTGCATTCTACAAAAAAAAGTCTAAGAGTAAGATCTCTGAATGTCAGACTGATTTTGTCAGATGATGGCAATTTAAAGATTGACTGCTTTCGATTACGTTAACTGTTAACATCTCCAACCGGTAGTTTGACTCAAAGGGACCTTTTTATATTAAGAGCGCCGTTTTCGTTGAATTATTTTGAATTTTTCCTTGTTTTATTGCATTTTTCCAATATTTGAGATCAAAATACTGTCAATTTTTGTAAATACGAGTCCACAGTCTTTTCAAAATCAATAATACCGGTCAATAATTTCAATATACTTCATGCTATTTCTCTGTTTAACAACCCCACGCAAGCTCCACGCAAGTTAACCACAATTTAACTACGTGATTAGTTGTTAAGTCGTGTAGTTACTAGTTAACTAATCATAGTTATGGATTTTACTACAGTGATTAGCGCTAATCATAGTTAATGACGTTTTTATACAACCGGCCCCAGCAGTTTTGGCATTTCTCATGCGAGCAGTTTCCCGTTTTAGTTGAGCGATAGCCAGGATGGTTGGAAACGAAGGTTAAATGATCTGCCGTTGAAGTTTACGGTCACGTCGTGCAACAAATTTTGCTAGAGAAACTCGTGTATTCCCTTGCAATTGAGAGAAAATAATTCAAAATGTTTTGCTTCAAAACGAAAGTTTGGAATAGAAACGTTGGAACTTTGAAAATTGAAAAATTAAAACGACGGTTTCCACTTTCCAAAACAAACTTCCTTTATTTCCCTTGAAAATCACTCACTGCAGTTTTCTGATCTCTTGGAACACTGGAATATTTAGATTTTCTATGTTGGCAACATAACAATCAATATAATTCAATTTAATCCTTGAGATTAGGTTAGGATTAAGATTAAATTAAGGATTAGGTTTAACCCTATTTAGCAATAAACCTAAAACCTGATCTTAACCCAAATCGTAACATAATCTCAAGTAATAAATAAGTCTGACGGATAGTTTTTTTTCAACTCATTAACTACCAAAACAAACTTCCTCTTGCCTTGAAATTTCATTCCCTGACAGTTTTCTGATCTCTTGATACATTGGAATGTTTAGCATTTTCTATTTTGGCAATATAATTCCATTTAATCCTTCAGATTAGGTTAGGATTAGAGTTTAATTTAGGATAAAGTTTAACCCTATTAAACTATAAACCTAAAACATAATCTTAACCCAATTCCTAACATAATCCCAAAGATTAAATTTGAGTATTTAGGATTTAGTTAACATGGAGTTTTATATTAAAAACTATCGCGGCATCGTCAGCACTTTAGAAAGTGTAAATTCGCATTTTAATAAAACAAGTTAAAGCTTTTAGAGTCAACTTAAACAAGACCCCTGACTCAGGCGTTCACACTGGCCGAATATATTTGCATTGGGGTCATTTTATAATGAACCGCAAGTCATCACTGTTCTTTTTTATTAGTATGAATACTAATACTAGAAGTATTATTGTTCTCAAGGGTCACAAGTTGTTATATTTGAAATGTAGGCATTCTATGTACGTCGTATGGGGTCTTCCAAAAAAAGTAAACCATACAATTCTAACACATATTAGTGGTCATTTTGAAATTGTATTTAAAATACCAGTTTCTTATTTTATTCTATTGCTAAAAGGATTTGTTAGGGGGATACCCTGTAGTACATAGAAGTCAAACTAATGGATTTTCTAATTGATATTGGAACTGTTATTTATATATATGTTAGTTATCTGTTATCTTAAACAATTTTGGATTGTTTTTTCTTGGGGGGGGGGGTTATATATGTCCACAAAGCTTCTGAGTGGTTTAAACCTACTTAAAACTATGAATATTTTAACTATTTTAAGTGCTAATGTTGTACATTTGACTATTAACCATAATTGAATTAGCTGAATTATTTCCAGCAGTTGAAGTCACAGTTTCATTATAATTTACATTTTTCAACTGTCTCTTTCGAATATTGTATTGTTCCAAATTAATCTATATACAAACATAAAATATTCTATCAAATCAAACTCTGAGGCGAGGCATACCAAACAAGTCCCTTGCATTGGAATCAAAACCATTAGAGTCAGTAAACACAGATACAATATTTTGCTGAATTATTAATAAAATGTAAATGTTTTCTTACAACAATTGCTCTAAAACAGAATTTAAAAGCACAACAAATGGAGATCTAGACAAATGGAATGCCTTCACTCAAGGTCTAGAGAATAGAGTATTTTTTATTGCTAGAGGGTAACTCTCACTAAACTCAAGTGACTAATCTGTATCTCTAACCAACGCCATTGTGGGCTGTTATTCATAGAACATAAATCATTGCCCAAGTTCATAATATTTCTAATAATGCTAATATTGAACAACACCATGCACAGATAGCAACATCAAGGAATTACAATTATGTGACAAGGCATTGTCCAAAATTGCAAAAGACAACAAGTGCTCTAAAACAAACCAAAAAATTATGGTTTATTTTAATATGTAGTTCTGTCACTTCTGTGAACATTGCTGGATGATCTGAGATGTGGCGAAAATATAGTCCTGTGTGTACAGTAACCAACATTAGATTGATTTTGGAATATTCGTTGTGCATCTGTTCTTTAAATACCGTAAAATGATTTGATATGTACATTTTATGTTGGCGTCGCCAATGTATATTATGTACATGTTTAATACCCCAGAAGTTTCCTCGGGTATAGACATACAATCTGCGCTTTGATTTTTCAAAACATAAATCGACTTAACAGCTGAGTTTGGTAGTACATACCCGTTTGAAGTACAATTCAGTAACGTGTAGATTCATATTTTCCAGCAAGAAAATTCAGTATATTAAAAAGACAATGAAAAACAGCCAAACTTCGCGTTTCGGAAATACAAAGTCAACATTCAATTGGCAGGGGACTGCCGTGGTAGCAATGAGCGTTTTGGGATACTTATCTCTAATAAAACACAAGTAGCCCGAAAAATATCCATAAGTTGTCCTGAAGTTATCCATATCTTATCCATAGATGGACATATCTCGTACCCTGAGATCCCATGGCGAAAACTGCGTTTTGTGTCGACGAAAAAAAATCTTAGCGATTTAAGACACTGACCCTATCGGCCAGTGTAATTACTGCAAAATAACATTTCTCTAAAATCTAGTGAAAATATCAGAAAAATGTTTAATTCGGCTCCAGCTCTCTCCGTTCTCTCCGTCAACTCGTAACATTTTCAAATTCATTTCTGGAAACACCGTAGCAAATTCCAGGAACTTCTGAGTCCAGACGGGAAAGGACGCGTCTAATGCAAACACTTTATAAGGAAGAGATATTTGCCTTCATAAACTGTGACGTGAAATATGGCTTCATATATACATGGATACGATGAAGAACGCTTCGAGACCAAAGTCAGTCAAAATTTCCTTTGTCAGATTTGCTCCAATGTCTTGAAAGAACCTGTCCTGTGTCCAACAAAAGAACATTGTTTTTGCCGTTGTTGTATTACGAAACATCTGGAAAATTCCCAAAAATGCCCAACGTGTGCTGATGAACTGACCGTAGAGACTTTGGCCGAACCAAATAGAATGGTAAAAGATTTCTTAAATGAATCGAAAATTCGCTGCGTTTACATCGACAGAGGTTGTCAAGAAGTTGTAGAATTACAGCATCTTGACCGCCATGAAGATACATGTGGATATACACCAGCCGTTTGTACAAATCAAGGCTGTGGTTTAATTGTTAACAAGCGTGATCTCATTCACCATGAAAGTGAAGTCTGTGAATTCCGAAAGTTGAAGTGTCACTCATGCGGGGAAATGACGAAAACTTTGGCAGATATGGAGGAAAGAATGGCGAATATCGAGAAGAATATGGTAACAAATAAAACAGTTGAAACTAAAATATCAAATTTAGAGAAAAATATCGCAAGAAATACCACAGGCGCAGTCGCAGATATAAAAGCAGATATGGAAGGAAAACACGAAGCGATTAACAACGAAGTCAAAGGACTGAAAACAGCTTTGGTGAGAGCTTTTGATGAAATGAAGGACGTTCTTATCACGATGGAGGGCAAGAAAGTAGAAAACACAAGAAAAGTAAGAAATAGACCAAGTGGTGATAAGGAAAATATAATTGTTGCTGGAGGTTTAGGAACTAACTCTGTAGAGATGTTTAACTGGCGTCAAAGAACATGGTCGCCATTACAATCAATGCCAAAGAAACGTTGGGCAGCGACTTCATTTACTTATAACAATCATATGACTATAGCCGGGGGTTGTGATTGGTCTGACATTGTGGATGATATGATTAGAATGAATATTGACCCAAACCTTGATCTATCAACACACTGGAGTGACTGTCCTGTTAAACTACCTGATAAGTTGAAATTCCACAGCAGTGTGCTGTATAATGATCACTTGATAGTCTCTGGAGGTGGTAATAGAAATGGTTCATCTGCCTTGATCAGAGCAGTCCAGCTTGATCCTCCCTATACTGCGAAGGCCTTATCAAGAATGCCAGAACCAAGACAATGTCACAGCATGGAAATATTTGATGATAATTTGTTGATAGTTGGCGGAAGTACAACAGGCAGTTACAAAGACGGCCTCAGCAGTGTCGTACTCTACGATATAAAGAAGAATGAGCTGAAACAGTTGTCACCACTGCCGTATGAAGTGAGTCTCATGGCAACTGCGAGATGGGGAGACAACATTGTTGTTATTGGTGGCGTTGACAAACAATGGCAGCCATTTGATACAGTTATCATGTACAATGTCAAGACAGAACAAAATCACATGCTGCCATCAATGAGATGTAAGAGGTTTGGATGTACTGCAGTTGTTATTGAAAACAACATTGTAGTCCTGGGAGGATCTGGTGAGCAAGGACACCTGAAGTCTGCTGAATGTTTCAACTTTGAAAGCTACTCTTGGGAAGAACTTCCAGAAATGTCTAAAGCAAGATGGATACACACTGCTGTTGTTGAGTGAACAATATGTAAAGTATTAAGTGAAAACTCCTAACCTATTATGAACAATTGAAATTAACTATAAGATTGTCACAAAGTTATAGAAATAGATTGTAGTATTCTAAGTTGATTGTCAGACATATACTTTTCTATACTGGGACCACTACTATTCTTACTATATATTAATGATTTTCCTGAATGTCTAAAATCAACGACTCCAGCTATTTATGTGGATGATACTCAAATCGTTTCATCCTCTTTTGATGCAAATGAACTTATTATAAAATTAAACTCGGATCTTGTATTTAACTGGCTTAAAGAAAACAGGTTGCAAATGCATCCAACCAAAATGTAAAATGATGTTTATTGGTTCCCCATATAACTTTATGAAAATTGATGTGTGATGTACCCGTTATAGCTAATGCAAAACCCATATCACGAACTACCACACAAATGTGTTTGGGGACTAAACTAGATGAAAATCTTAACCTGGATAGTCACATTGAAATGATATGTAAAAAGGCGAGTTCAGGGATTGGCGTTATAGAACGCATAAGACCCTTTGTTTCTAGACATACCCCAGAATCTGTTTATAAAAGTCTTGTGCAGCCTTACTTCGATTACTGCTCCCCCTGTGGGATACTTGTGGTAAGCTGTTCAGAGACAAGTTGCAAAAATTTAGTGCTACATGACATCATCTGCGCCAGTATACAGCAGTGCAAGTACCCAACAACATATAAGCATGCGTTGATTAATCCTGTACCCAAAGACAAAGTCAACAATTCATCAGATTTCAATAATGACTTATTTCAATTAGACAGATCTCTGTTCTACCCCTAGCAGCGAAAGTTCTTGAGAAAGTCCAACTGATGCTGAATAAAAGTGACCTGAAGATCAGTGCTACTCAGCATGCTTTAAATTTTTTCGAGAAGAACGTCCTACTGTGACAGCACTCACAAGTATCATTCAGGACTGGTTCAACGCCACTGAACCAAAGAGTCTATACCTTGAAATTCATGCACTCGTTGTTGATTTCCGCAAAGCGCTTGATATGGTCGACCACGCCACATTACTTGAAAAGCTAGCTTCAATGAGGATCTCTCGCAGCTTTTAGAAATGGGTACAGAGTTACTTATCGTGTAGGACACTGCAGGTGAAGCTACCTGGAGTAGTTTCTAGAAGAGGAAAAGTTATAGCAGGAGTTCCTCAGGGTGGAGTTATTTCGCCTACCTTGTTGAATGTATTTGACAATGACATTGATGATTGCTGTCCCCCAGGGGTTTCCATCAGGACCTGTAAGTACGCAGATGATTGTACCCAGCATGAGCTTGTTCCAATTGGTGGCAGTGGTCACATTCAAACCGTTTTGGAAAATCTGAAGGCATGGGCGGCCCGAAATAAAATGGAGATAAACACCAAAAAGACCAAATAGATGTGGGTTAGTTTTCGGAAATCACAACAGCTTTAAGTTGCAAGCCAGATAAAAATTAAGAATGATCAAATTGACAGGGTTGAGATCTTCAAGTTACTTGGTGTTCATGTTCAAAATGATTTAAAATGGAATGCACATGTAGATGATCTGGTAGCTGGAGCGATTATACTTTCTACGTGTATGCCGTGAAGCAAATCTTCCTTCTGAAATTGGTGTGACCACATATATAACTAAAATACGTCCTCTTCTTGAGTACGCTTCACCAATTTGGGGCGGGATCCCTAACTAGTTGGCTAAGGATTTACAACACATTCAGAATCGGGCCATAGATATCCTCGGTCTCCCTAGAGACACACTAGAGACACTTGAGGCAAGGAGAGATTTACACACAAACAAGGCGTTCAAAGACATCATGGAATCTGAAAGTCATCCATGTAGAAGGTTTATTGCTGAAGTGCCACAATCCTATACTCTTCGCCGCGCACAGCGAAAATGACAACCCATCTACTGCTCGCAGACTTGCAGAAAGGCTTGAAGAACGACGACCGAGATGCGTTCCCGTTCCTAATTAACATCAATGGTATCGAGGAACATTTAAGATTTACCCGCATACCTTTCGGAGTGGAGCCGAGTCCGTTTATGCTCGGCGCCACGCTACAACACCACTTCGATCTACACCGAGAAGAGTACGGAAACACGGTCGAGTCCTTGAAAGAGAACACTTACGTTGACAACCTAATGAAAACCTGGAGCGATGTCACGGAACTGGAAAACTTCAAACGGGAAGCGAAGATAATTTGGGAAGATGCGAGATTTCCAGTTCACAGATGGAGGTCAAATGTCGAAGAGTTGGACAACGAAGCGAATCCCAGCAAAATACTCGGGCACAAATGAGACAAGAGGGATGACAGGCTTGAGATTTTAACAAAACCTGCCAACCTTGAGAAACCAGTTACAAAGAAAAAAAATTCTTAAGGAACTTAGTAGCGTATGCGATCCCTTAGGAATAATATCTCCGACGATGGACGAAGGAAAGCCGAGTATCTATCGGGAAGCGTGCGATGAGAAAGGTGGTGGAATGCAGAAGTGTCGCCGAAGGCAGCCAAAGATTGGATAAAGTGGAGACAACGATTAAGAAACGTGAGAGTCCCGAGAAGTCTTACTAGAGATTTTCGAAAGATAAAAGCCATACACTTGCGCCTGTTCGCTGACGCAAGTTTTACGACGTGTACTGCAGTGACTATCGCAGTTATTGAACACTCCAGTGGGATAATCAGGGGGCTTCTTACATCAACGTCTAGAATTGCGAAGAGAAACAATTCAATTGCGAGACTTGAACTAGTCGGTGGACACATGGCTGCCAACATGGCGAAGAATCTGGTGGTAGCTTTGCGAAGATGGCCGATAACAACAGTCACGATTTGGATGGATAGTCTGGTTGCTTTGTTTTGCATCTCCAGCCCAGAGAGACCCTGAAAAGTTTTTGTGTCAAATCGGACACGAAAAATCGTGGAAATTACCGCTGAGATAGGCATTGCTTAGAAATATTGCCCGTCGGAAGACAATCTGGCTGATTTGGGCAGCCGGGAAGCCGGTATCGACCAAATGGAAAAGGGTGGCTGGTTCGCTGATCCCCAGTGGTTAGTTGAGCCTGACAGGTGGCCAAAGCAACCGAAGCTCGTGAGAACAAAGAGTGTCGTAGAAGAACAGAAGCCTTTTATAGAGGACGTTTTTCACACAACGGAGAAAGCTCTTCACGATTGGGACTTTTTGTTCTCTAGATCGAACTACTGGAGAACCCTCCGTCTCACGGCATGGGTATTGCGATTCAGCAACAACGCCAGAGCAAAAAGCGTGACGAGAGGCCCACTGACGACAAGAGCGCTCGAAGAATCAAAGGCGCGATGGGTAAAGAAGGTTCAAAGGGACATGAGTGTAGACTTAAAGACGCCAGGTTGGGAGGTCGTGCAGGAGAATGGCTCAAGTCTGCTGAAATGCAAAGTTCGAATTCCCGGGTTTCAGCCAATCTGATCTGGAAGGGGGAAAGTTCGCGGACAAATAATTATGCATACACACAACGAGATCAATCACTTTGGTGTGCGAACACGATGGCCGCATTAAGAGAGACATGGTGGATCCCTAAGCTACGCTCAAAGATAAAAAGGATCATAAACAAATGCAACGTGTGTAAAGCGTACATAGTACTTTGCCGGTCTGTTGTCATATAAGCTTACCAAGAAAGAAGACGGCAAGTGCTATATCATGATATTTACCTTCGCTTCGTCTAGAGCCGTGCATCTGGAGTTGACAAAGCCACAATCAGCAGAGGAATTCAAAACGAAATTGAATGCCTTCATTACAAGAGGAAGTAGGCCAAAGATGATCATGTCGGATAACGGCGCGGCATTTAAAGCAACAGCAACCCGGATTAAGAAGATACGCAAAGGGGGCGGCTTCAAGATTACTTCGTCGACAGGAAATTAGTTGGAAGTTCAATCATTCAAAATCTCTTTTGTAGGGTGGGATGTATGAACGTTTACTTAAAGATATAAAGAAAACGTTGTACAAGGTGATAGGACGATCGACATTGTCATTTGATCAACTGAAAACCATTGTTATCGATGTGGAGAAGAATGTGAACAATAGGCCGATTACTTACGTGGAACGTGAGCAAGAAGAAGAACAAGTACTCACTCCAAAGCAAATTTTGTGGGGACAAAATGTTTGCACTATTGACGAGTCAGACACCGATGATAAGAATGAAGTTTTGAAGTTGCATAAACGTGTAAAGCAGAAGCGACGACATGCGTTGCAAAGATGGAAAGCAGAATACGTACACAGTTTGATGGAACACCATCGGGTCAACAGGGGAGGTAATGCTTGTCCAGAAGTCGGGGAGATCGTCTTGGTGCTCGGCAAAGAGAAGAATCGGGCTGAATAGAGAAGAGAAAAGGTGGTGCAGCTTGAAGGGGAAAGATAACGTGGTGAGAGGAGTACAGATTCTGACGAAGGGACATAGTATTACTTAGTCTATTCAGAGATCGCTTCCCTTTGTTTGCTCGCTGGAACTCAAGCAACCCGAAGTGCTGGAGGTAAACCAGACCGAAACAGATGAGAACCCTGCGACTGAGGAGAGAAAAAGCAAGAGACGAGCAGCGAAAGAGGCAGAACAGAGAATACGACGATTGATGATCGATGAAGAAGATTGACGTACATAGGACTTAAACTTATTATGAGATATTTGCTCCGTAGAAACTGAGCAAACCTTCGAAGTTGATATTATTTGCATGTCAAAATTTTATAAAATTTTAGAGGGGAAAGTGAGCGAAATTGTTTGAACTGGGTGGCCTGTGTAATTCGGGCCTGTGCGCGGGTTTAAAAACAACGTGGGAATTAATGTGCGAAACGTAGTGTAAACGAGAGAGAGCGAGAATTGTGTATTGTTTTATGGTTTTATCTTTTTAAATATCATCCAAAATAGCCTTTTAGGGGATTATTAAGGTACCTGCACGGGTTCGGTACAAAAACACCCATACCGAGCACTCATTGTTAGATTAATAAATTTAGCGGATTTAAAGCCTTCTCTCTGCCGATTAGGCCAACCCAATTTAGTATCCCATTACCATTGAGGAAGTATCTGACTCTTTGAAAAAATCTAACTCTTCTAAAGCAACAGGATTTGACGGAGTCCCTGCTCACTTCATAAAGCTTTTGCCAAAGTGATACCAATTTCTATAGCTAATATTTGTAACCAAAACTTTACCACAGGTATCTTTCCATCTTTTTGGAAAAAGGCTAAATTAATCTCAATCCAGTAATCGGGTGAAATGAATGAAAGAGGAAATTTTAGGACAATTTCTGCTCTAGTTATTCTCTCTAAGATCATAGAAAAGCATGTGTTCAATTCCTACTAACTGAAAATAAAATTCTATCGGACCACCAACATGGGTTCAGACCGGGGCATTCATGCGAAACTTCGTTGACAATGATTTATGAATATCTTGTTAATAATATCAAAAAAGGAGAAATCAATCGAGTTCTGATGCTTGACTTTTCCAAGGCGTTTGATTTAGTCGATCACACTATCTTGCTTCAAAAAATCCGCGCATACGAAGTTACTGATCTCACTCTGAAATAGTTCATATCATACCTAGAAAGGCGAACTCCATTTTTCAGACCCTTTAACTATAAAAATCCCAAAAATCCCACAAAAACCCCATTAAAATCCCATAAAAACCCCATAAAAATCCCATCAATAACTTGATTAAGATGAGAAAAATACTGTTAGTTGTCAACACTCTGCGTAGCTCATCGCCAAGTGAGCTTCGCAATCTGTTTCATATCTCTGGTGAGATGCATGGTGTCCATACTCGACGTTCCTTAATTGATCTAAGGGTACCTTTAGTCAAACCTGAGCTGGCTGAAACTAAACTCTCACAAAGCGGAGTTTTGCTGTTTAACTCCTTGCCAAATGACCTAAAAAGGATCAATGACTACTCCCCCTCTGCCTACAAGCTTAAACTAAAAAAGTTCTTTTGTGATTTAAATTATGAAGTTGACCATCTTCAACATTTTCGTGCTCTTCATGTACTAACATTGTTAAGTGTATATGTTACACCTATTCACTTTTCACCTGTTCTACTTTTATCTCAATCTATCAAATATTCATTTTATTCTTATATCTTTCTTTTGTTTTTATTGTCTCGTCTACTGTGTTGTATATATACATTGTGTTGTATATAGTCATTGTGTTTTATATACACATACATAATATTTCTCCTTTGTACATATCGTTTCGTGTATTAATAGTGTTATATAGAATTCGTTAATGTAATTCTTGTATATAATGACCGCGTAACCTATATTTATGTATTATAATGAGTTTATAATGATTATTATTATTATCATTATGGTTATTAAAGTGCTTCTTTAAATCTCGTTCCTACTAAAGGAGCTTGCTTTTGGAGCATCTTTCAGAGATTTGTTTGAACAATTTAAACTTTAGACTGAAATAAATGTTCCAGATGTAAAGATATCCAATAATTCTTCCCTGACCCCTGCCATTGATTTCAGTCGTCAGCGACAGAAACGCCTAAATTGAATCGAATGAACCGAATTAGAAAGGATCTCTCTCTCTCTCTCTCTCTCTCTCTCTCTCTCTCTCTCTCTCTCTCTCTCTCTCTCTACCTCTCTCTCTACCTCTCTCTCTGTTACATATCTTTATAGCTTACGAATCGGGTTGGCGGCATCCGTCGCCGCCTCCGCCTCCACCGCCTCCGCCGCCTCCGCCACCGCCGCCTCCGCCCCATTGTGAGAACCTAAAATCAAAAGATAGGTTTTTTAGTTATTACATTTAATTAAACCCTCTATTCTTTAGTGCCAAAAGCAAGCTCCTATTCACTATTTTTATGATTATTGAACACTCTCTTTCGTACTATATTTTTTCCGATATTTGGCTCGTTTGTAATTTTCTTTGCTTGAGATATTCAATCTATTCGAAGCTGTTTTAATCGTCAAACGCTGTTTCACACTATCTTTCAACTCATCGAGCCAATTGTTTAAAACATTCCCAACTTTCAAAATGCAGTTGCAGTTGTCTTTAAAGGGTTAGTCTTTAAAGCGAAGCTTGGCCGGACCATTGTTAACGAATAACTTTGATAACTCTCTCCATCGATGATGGTCGAGCTTTGATATTAGATTACTAACACCAACCTCGTTCCCAGGGCCTTTTGGGGACTTTAAATATGGGGTTGAGAATGGCGCGAAGAGGACAAATGAGGAAAGGCCCTGGGATCGTTGGTTCAAATTACCCACATTTCGTGGCTATTTTCCATAGAGATTATAAATAACACTAGAGGAGCACTGAGCTATATAATAATTCCTGGAGGACCGGT